AAAAAGAATTGTTCTGCACAGCAGTTGTGTTCCTCACGAGCCGATGCAGAAAAGTGTAATATTTAATTGAACAAACTGACGCTGTAAACTACATGTCTGAGCCTAAAAGCATGTCCCCATTACCTGCAGTCGATAGAACCAGAACAAGTGCCCCACCCCCCCCCCTCCGCCATACTTTCAGAAACTAAAACATAATCTTTTCAACACTCAGACAAGTGTGGGAAGTTTTTCACTGTACGATAAAAAGAGACTGGTTCTTGTATGAAAGCTCTTGTATAAAACGTATAGGCTTATAGGTTGTATCTTACACTTGTTATTAATATAATACTAAACTAAGGCAACAGTAGTTTCTATATTAAACAAATAATTAGCGACGATTACCTTAACATTAAATAATATTTATTCAAGCGGCTATTACAAAATAGCCGATGCTGGGTGCTAGCTGTTTATTAAATACACGGTCACGGTTCTTTGATAGAGTTTTTTTTTTTTTTTTTTTTTTTTTTTATAAAGTCCACCGCCTAGTTCGCCTTATATGTTGCGCCGGCCCTGGACATAGTTTTCTCCCATCTCAAGCTTTAAATTTTCCAAGGGAAACAGCCTCGAAATGAATTTTTTTATTGATTGTTACAAGTAGCAAGTGCGTTTTAATTAAGTTTTCTTACCTGTTATAATCATGTTAGGTATAATAGCTTGTTGAACTTAGCAAAACATTAAACGAGTTTTTAATTTTTTTTTTGCAAATCATTGTTTTCTAAACTGTACTTTATTTTTTTTAAAGTAACTTTAATTACATACCACCAATATACACAAATACATGCTTTTTTTAAGTATTGCTAAAACAAACGTCTACACAAATGTTGATGATTCCTTCCCATCTTTTCTGTAATGCTAAGTAAGGGAAACAGCTTATACTGTTGATCCAAAAACAAAAATCAAGGGCAACAAAATTCAACAGTTCTAAGTGTATAAAGGGAGTTGAAGATGCATATTTTATTAACTAAAAATTATGTGTCCTGTCACCCAAACCAAAAATATAGCGAATATAGCGAATAAGTGTTAGGAATATTTTTTTCAAGAGTTAAAAACGGCAGTAAAAAAAGGTGTTTTGCCTGATAAATCACTTTGAAAAAGGAATAAAGCAGATGACAGATCATAAAATTAGATTTTATTTTTAAAACATTATTATTTGCCTCAGCTTCCTATTCTGACTAAAGAGACGAAATATCAGACACAACTTTTAATATAAATATAAAAAAATAAACCATCGATATTACAAATCATGCCAGGTAAAGCAATACAAAAACTTATGCTAGAATATCGCTATAAAGGGAGATAACTAAAGCCAGGCTTCACAGTCGGGTTAACATTTAATGTTTAGCTGGCGTCAGCACACACATTTTCTCTCTCTCACACACACAGACACAGACACACACACAGACACACACACACACATACAGACACGCACACACACAGGCACACACACACACACAATACACTTACACACGCACGAACGAACAGTGAAACAGTCTGTAGCTGTATAGTCGAGAGTTGTGTTCTCGGGAGCCTAATTATCGGGAACATTATTCTTGTAAGCAGTAGAGCGAGAAGTCTAACATAAAGGGTTCTTGCTGGTTACACCTGTTGCCGACACTTACAATGGTTGGTTGAGATAACTGAAATTTGCATTGAGCCAAACAATTTTAAAGGGGCATGACGTTGGCAGAAAAAAATAGATACGTTTTTGACCAGTAACATTTAAACATGAATACAACGTTGGTAAAAAAATGATCTTTATTTATGGTAATCAGTCCGGGTGGGCGTGATCGATTTGTTCTAGCCCATGGTTGATTAAAACATGATATAATCTCTATAATATATAGAGTTATATGTGTAGGTGGGCGTGATCGATTCGGTATAGCCCATGGTTGAATAAAACATGATACAATCTCTATAATATATAGAGTTATATGTGTAGGTGAGCGTGATCGATTCGGTATAGCCCATGGTTGATTAAAACATGATACAATCTATATAATATATAGAGTTATATTTGTAGGTGGGCGTGATCGATTCCGTATAGCCCATGGTTGATTAACTAAAAAGCTCTATGTCCACGTCAAGCAGTTCTTCACACCCACACATTGTTCTTCAAGTGCTAACACATAGTTCTTTCTACATCCCACACACTGTTCTCTACATACCCACACAATGTTCTACGTAATTTACTCTATTCACACCGCAATTGTCTTACACAACCACGCATTTTCCTTCACACCCACAGTGTTCTTAACACATCCACACATTGATCTTAACACACCCACACAGTGATCTTAACACAACCACACAGTGACCTTAACACACCCACACAGTGATCTTAACACACCCACACAGTGATCTTAACACACCCACACAGTGACCTTAACACATCCACACAGTGTTGTAAACACATCCACAACAGTCTTTACCTACCCACGCGATGTAATAAAAAATCCCTCATTTATTTTCATACACTAACAACAGTTATAAATAGTTATACTAAAAATGTACAATTTAATTAGGATAGACATAAAACTACCAGCAGAAACAAAGATTAATTCCACCTGTTGCTGATAGTGAGGGGCTTCTCTGAGACGGCTGGGTGACAAACAGTTTCTCATCTACGACAGTTTACTGTTGGTAGACAAAAAGTCTCTCATCCAAAACAGTTTACTGTTGGTAGACAAAAAGTTTCTCATCCAAAACAGTTTACTGTTGGTTGACAAAAAGTCTTTCATCCAAAACAGTTTACTGTATGTTGACAAAAAGTCTTTCATCCAAAACAGTTTACTGTTGGTTGACAAAAAGTCTCTCATCCCAAACAATTTACTGTTGGTTGACAAAAAGTCTCTCACCCAAAACAGTTTACTGTGGTTGACAAAAGTCTCTCATCCAAAACAGTTTACTGTGGTTGACAAAAGTCTCTCATCCAAAACAGTTTACTGTTGGTAGACAAAAAGTCTCTCATCCAAAACAGTTTACTGTGGTTGACAAAAGTCTCTCATCCAAAACAGTTTACTGTTGGTAGACAAAAAGTCTATCATCCAAAACAGTTTACTGTGGTTGACAAAAGCCTCTCATCCAAAACAGTTTACTGTTGGATGGCCAGTGAAGCTCAAAGTGTTCTCGAATTGTATTATCATTTATATCGTTCATTAAAATGTTCGAGAACAAAAAGTAAATTGAAAAAAGGTTCAACAAAAAAAAAGGTTGCTGCTTTTTTCAGATCATACAAGGCAAGTATTCCATGTGCGTGTATGTCGATGTCTTGTAAGTTGTCTAACATTACCTTAGGATATGTGCATTTCTAATGGTACTAACGTATATGTAGTCTAAAAACACCATTTGATGTGGTATGTCATGTGCTCCTGACATATAGGCTAAATTTAGAGGGAAGCAAAAAGAAAAATTTATTTTTCAACAAATGTATATAAATTAACAACATGGTTAAAAATGCTAGGTTTCTGAAAATCCAATATCAATCATACTGTACATTAAATCACAAGCTAAAAAACACAAACAGAGATAGAGACTAGTAGTATTCATTAGAATCTGCTACGTACATATGTTTACATGTACAGGAGGGTCAGGCCGTTGGTGTTATTTATGAAACAAAGGGGGACAGACTCTATGACTTAAATAAGTAAAAAGACTGTCTCCAAGGATCTTGGACATTTCAGTGAAATAGAACCCACAGTACACAACATTCATCTAATCAACCACCAAGAAGTGAATACAGTTGGGGGTTTAGCCATTGTAGAGAAAGGACGTGTTGTACATTTTGTAGTGTACACATAGTATTAGTGATTGATAATTAAAATTCAAGTTATATTTCGATGATCGGACTTGTTGGTATTAATAGTGTCGTCGGAAATAAGAGTGTTCCCGTCTGCATCACATGTCTATAGTTGGAAGGTTAGTAATAGAAGTAGTCATCATATATAACGCATACATCCCTAACCCCACCACACCTATGTTAAACGCTTTTTAAAAAAAAAACCGAAATAGAAGCTAGCGGTAGAGAGCTGGATTGCCAACTCATAGGTCTCGAGTTCGAATCGGTAGACTGTCCCTAGTCCACCTAACTCTTATGGGTACCTAACTTACGTTAAGGGAAGTAAAGGCGGCTGGGCATATTGCTGACCTCACTATGATGTATGTATCTACATTTCTGTAATTGTTATGTAGAATTACCATGTTATTATGATGAAAACATACAATGTTCAAAAATAAAATTCTTTACATTCTTTAGTTTAAGTTACTTCCCATTATGTTTTTTAAAACAAATAAGGGAAACAACTTAAACATTTGATTTAAAATTATGTGGAAAGTATTTGTTATAATACTTTATATTTGGTTTAAGGTTTGATATGACTGTAAAAGTAAGATTAAAATTACATATTTATAAACTTAGTTAAACGTATATGTTTTACGGTAATTAAATTTAACAAATATCAGAACTTTATTTAGAAAACTGCTAGCGTAATTTAATGGTATATTTCAAGACACTTGAACACTCCGATTAGATATTGCTTATTTCACATTTTTTGAATTTCGGCTGCTTGAATATACTCATTTTTGTATACACTTAAAAATGTTATACATACTGAATTGTAACAAAAGCATTCAGTGGACAAGTGAAAAACAAATTCCGTAAATGACATGTCAGAGCCTAAGAAATGTATTTGTTTACTACAATAGTTCCTAACAGCCTAGCAAAACGAAATACTACACAGGGTGCCTAGAGCTACATTTTACAACGATCAACTTTGTAGCGATGGCCGCCGACACGAAGTCAACCATTATCTTTCATTTAGAAAGGAGTGAGTTGGTATTACCAATATAATTCTTTGTAAGATCTCAATAACGTTCATTTAGAATGGAGTGTGTTGATATTAAAAATATATTATCTTGACAATTATAATTTTGTAATGTGTTATATAACTCTGAAATCACAATCTTTATCTTAACTGTGCATAGGCTCGATTACTCTCACACATCTTATGAAGTTCTTGCTTCTTTCTCACTGCCTTACCCTGATTATTGTAAGCATCCATGATTTCAAGAGTAAGTTTTTTTTTTCCATTGAGATTCTCCTTTCTTTGTCTCTACAGCTATCAATAATCCACTTCATAGCCCTAAACTGCCTTTTGTTTTCCTTGGCACACACTGGTACCCTATATGCTACTCCACCTTTGACAACCCTAACAGTTATCAGCAGTGGTTTACAATTGTCAACAGCTTGTTTGAAGATGGTTACAGGATTGCACTCAATCTGACTCCTATCTATCTCCAAAGCCTTGTGCGATGTCTCAATTTGTAGGTGCTTCATGTTTTCAAACAACCGACGCATCACTTCCCTGACTCTTTCCTTATTTCTTCCTTTCATCATAACATTTGTGAATTTTAAGACAATTGGATCATAGAACAAAGGTGAAATTTAAACATCTGTTGTCGGGGCTTTGAGTGGATTATGGAGTCTCTGATCTTTTTCTGATAGCTTTTTGTTAATTTCTTCTTTATTACTTATTGGGTCTAAAAAAAACTGGACTGTAACACGACATCCTTGAGACCTGAAAAACACAGTAAGGGGGCCAATATATCTTTTTAGTTAATCAACCATGGGCTATACCGAATCGATCACGCCCACCCGCACATATAACTCTATATATTATAGAGATTGTATCATGTTTTAATCAACCATTGACTATACCGAATCGATCACGCCCACCTACACATATAACTCTATATATTATAGAGATTGTATCATGTTTTAATCAACCATGGGCTATACCGAATCGATCACGCCCACCTACACATATAACTCTATATATTATAGAGATTATATCATGTTTTAATCAACCATGGACTGTACCGAATCGATCACGCCCACCTACACATATAACTCTATATATTATAGAGATTATATCATGTTTTAATCAACCATGGACTGTACCGAATCGATCACGCCCACCCGCACATATAACTCTATATATTATAGAGATTATATCATGTTTTAATCAACCATGGGCTATACCGAATCGATCACGCCCACCCGCACATATAACTCTATATATTATATAGATTGTATCATGTTTTAATCAACCATGGGCTAGAACAAATCGATCACGCCCACCCGGACTGATTACCATAAATAAAGATCATTTTTTTACCAACGTTGTATTCATGTTTAAATGTTACTGGTCAAAAACGTATCTATTTTTTTCTGCCAACGTCATGCCCCTTTAAAATTGTTTTGGCTCAATGCAAATTTCAGTTATCTCAACCAACCATTGTAAGTGTCGGCAACAGGTGTAACCAGCAAGAACCCTTTATATTAGACTTCTCGCAATACTGCTCACAAGAATAATGTTCCCGATAATTAGGCTCGCGAGAACACAACTCTCGACTGTACAGCTACAGACTGTTTCACTGTTCGTTCGTGCGTGTGTAAGTGTATTGTGTGTGTGTGAGTGTGAGTGTATTGTGTGTGTGTGTAAGAAAATGTGTGTGCTGACACCAGCTAAACATTAAATGTTAACCCGACTGTACAGCCTGGCTTTAGTTATCTCCCCTTATAGCGATATTCTAGCATACGTTTTTGTATTGCTTTGCCTGGCATGATTTGTGTTATCGATGGATTATTTTTTTATATTTATATTAAAAGTTGTGTCTGATATTTTGTCTCTTTAGGCAGAATACGAAACTGATGCAAATAATAATGTTTTAAAAAATAAATTAAAAAGTTTATGATCTGACATCTGCTTTATTCCTTTTTGAAAATAATTTATCATGCAAAACACTTTTTTTACTGCCATTTTTAGCTTTTGAAAAACAGATTCCTAACACTTATTCGCTATATTCGGTATATTTTTGGTTTGGGTGACAGGACACATAATTTCAGACTAAATATTCCAGACTAAATATCTCACAGACAAATGATCTCTTGAAAAATGATTTCAGGACAAATGATTCCATTGTATATAAAACCTAACACATTGTATATTAGACCATATATAATTATTACATGTGATATGAAGCATTAGATGTTTCTCTACGGAATGAATAAGATCTTGCCAAGAACATTCCTTCCCATGGGACAAGCGATCTGCTGTATTCTCCACTCTAGGCTTTAAATACATGACCGTATTATGTTTAATGTCATTGTCACAGTATAATTCTAGTTTATTCGATGATTTGATAGAACAAAACAACACGACCGTAATGTCCTTGGCACAGTATAAATTCCAGTTTATTCAATGATTTGCTAGAACAAAATAACACGACATTATTGTCCTTGTCACAGTATAACTCCAGTTTCTTCGATGATTTGCTAGAACAAAACAACACGACCGTATCGTTTTCTTTAGCCTCCACTGTGTCTATGGGGAGTCCGTGAGAGTTGAGAAACAGCAGATCGTTGGTCGTTTTTTGGGCTGAAATAAAAGTTTTAACGGCTAAAACTATTTCAGACTTTTATTTTGTGATCTTATCAGGTCTACATTCATTAATGTCTCAAAAATAGCTTTGCTAAAATTGTAAAATATTTTAAAATACATTCTACATCTGTTAGCAGCATACAATGGAACTTTAAAAATGGTCTTAAAATAAATAGTTTTATTACTTAACGTTAATTTATTTTATTCTCTGCTTTAAGTCATATAAGTTAAAATATAACTCCATCGTGTTTAGCCATATAGTAAAACTAAATTTACTTGCATTACTTTTCCCTTCAAATTTACCGCAATTACTAGTACAACAAAGACCAACTATTATTTATCAAATGTTAACTAAATTACTCGAATTACATTTTTCTTTATGTCTCTCTAGCTTAACAAAATCT